ATCAGGCTCCCTGCTCAGCAGGGAGTCTGCTTCTCCCTCTGACCCACTCCCCTCTCATGCTCTCTGTCTCTCATTCTCTCTCTCGCAAATAAATTAAAAAAAAAAAAAAAAGAATATATCTGGAAGTACCCATACGGAACTCAACTCGGTCACCTGTGGGGATGGGGCCATAGGTCTATTTAATGAAGGGGACCATAAGCTCATATATTTAATGAGCTGTTATTGGGCTGTTTTGGTGTTTTTACCGTGTTTTTTGTTTTTTGTTTTTAAGAAAAGCACGTTTTTAAAACTTAGGATCTCAGTCCAGAAAAAGTCGGAATAAACCATGAAGGTCAGGTGCTGGGTGGATTTATTCACCAAATCCAGAGTTAAGTTACTTCTTGAAGTGGACAGAGATGGTTTAAAAAAAATGCAGTGGTGATTGTGAATTTATGGAACATCACATGATTTCAGCTTGGATGGCAGGGATGGCAAAGGGATTAATTGATAAAGGAATGGTGGTGGAAATAAATCAGTATGATTAAAAAAGATGGAAGACAGGGGCGCCTGGGTGGCTCAGTCGTTAAGCGTCTGCCTTTGGCTCAGGTCATGATCCCAGGGTCCTGGGATCGAGCCCCTCATCGGGCTCCCTGCTCAGCAGGAAGTTTACTTCTCCCTCTCTCACTCCCCCTGCTTGTGTTCCCTCTCTCACTGTGTCTCTCTCTGTCAAATAAATAAAATCTTAAAAAAAAAATGGAAGACAGCAGCCATACTCTCACAAAACATATTTTGGTGATGTTTACCATAAGAGACAAAGAACTGAACTTATTAGTCTAATTCAGTATGGCACTTTTTTTTTTAAGATTTTATTTATTCATTTGACAGAGAGAGACACAGCAAGAGAGGGAACACAAGCAGGGGGAGTGGGAGAGGGAGAAGCAGGCTTCCCGCTGAGCAGGGAGCCCAATGTGGGGCTCGATCCCAGGACCCTGGGACCATGACCCCAGCCGAAGGCAGATGCTTGATGACTGAGCCACCCAGGCGCCCCCAGTATGGCACTTTCAAACCCATATTTTCAAGGATGAAGCAAGCAGCTTGAAGGTAAGCAGATTAGTCTACTCATAGATTTTAAACTGAAGATAAAATGAGTTTAGGAATGAAAGACAATAAACATATTTGCAGTCTATGGCATATAATGCTTTACTCTTTGCAAGCTCTAGGTGTTATAAGAGTTAAAGATTCAAGCTGGAAAATCTACCAGAAAAACACTGAAAATCTATACTGTTTTATGTCATTGCTCTTTGGTGCTAAGAGGTTCTCAAGAAAGTGAGTATCTTATGTACCGTTTGTGCTGTAATATTTTATTACAGTGAGTGTACAGAAGATTAGCTGTCTCAAAGATTCTTTTGAAATCAGATTGCACATCAAAACTGCATTGTGCCCTGCTAAGTAAGCAAATTTAAGAAAGAGGAGAAGGTGATGTCAAGACTTATTGCAAAATGAACAAATAAAGGAAAGAAGATTTGCTTGGTGTTCAGCCTATTAAAGCATAGCCAAATGTCAGTCTTCATTTGTCAACTTAAATATGTTTTTCTAAAACTTACAAAGATTCAGTCTACAGAAAGTATCCTTTAGCTAGTATTTGGCCTTGAGAAATAAATTAGGCAACACGAAAGTACCAGATTATACTAAGAACTCAATTTCTCAGTGATAAATTATGTGGTAAATACCACATAAATATGTACATTAGTAATTCAGATACAGATATTTGTTGACCTCTTTGTTATTTTCCTGATTATAAAATTAATACATGTGTTGTTGCTCCCCAATACTTGAGATTTTAGGTCAGAGGTAAACTTCTCTTCCACAATAGCTAGACCACCAAATACCCAACACACACAAGCATTTCTATTCTCCAGGGGTTTCTCCCTTCAAAAAGGAAAAAAAAGGTAAAAAGAAATTTTTAAAAATCCACGAGCTGAGCCTCAGGGAGCCAAGGTGAAGATTAGGTAGCTTGCAGCCTGAATTGTACTTGCTAGAAATAACCAGGAACATAGGTAAGGATCCCAGACCAGAGCAACAGAGTTCACAGGGGCTTGAAACTAGCATAATGGGGGGCCTGCAGGTTTTGTGAAAGGGTAGGATTGCCCTGAGGCCAGAGTTCTCTACTGACAGTATCTGAGCAGACTGAACCTTGAAATAGCAGTCAGGAGGAGAACCTGAATCCGAGACCCCCTCCTCTGAGCTAAAATCTTCAAGAAGGTCCTGAAGGGTCCTGAGACAAGTGTACACACACACACACACACACACAGAGAAACACACTGGCTGAAGCAGAAGAAACCATCCAACAAGACTCTCTTAGATTACAGTCAAGCATAACCTCTCAACGACTACCAAATCTAGATAAAGCCAGCCACTATGAGTGAGAATTAATAGACAGCAAATCAGAGCTATGTATGAAACAAACTATGGAATTACAAAAACTATTAAAAAAAAAAAAAACCATTGGGATTAAACAGATACACTTACCAGACAGAATTTCTAGAAATAAAATATTTAATTGGTGAAACGAAAACCTCAAGAGTTTTGGGTCCAGCCATCACTGAAACTGGTGGCAGACATATCCTTCTATCATAAACTACAGCAGTGTACAGTAGACACTTCAGGGCTCTGACCCTTGAGAGAAAGACACCAGCGTGCTGACCTC